TTTTATATGAATGATTCAAAATTCAGGGATTAAAGAGCTGATGGAATAAAAAAAAACCTTCCCTTGTAGCCAGTAGCCATCAGCTTGCACAAAATTGGAGAACCAACACCATGAACAAGCAGAGCTTCTGACCCCAGCAGAAGAGAAAGCCTTTTTTAAATGTTTCCCGTCACCTGCAGAGTGAGTGACTGTACTCTGAAGGTTTAATGATATAAATGCAGAAACCTTCTTTCATGTCTCAGGAAATACACTGAATTGACTGAATCACCTTCGTGAACTGGGGAAACAACAGTCAACCATAAGTAGCACCTCCATCATTTCTTAGGAGAAATGTCCCTTTCTTTTAGAAATGTATGTCCCAGAACCAACCAATATACCCATCGAGAAGACAAATCATCGTGGAGAGGTTGACCTGGAGGCTCCCGTGTGGGCCACACCTAGTGAAAATGACATTATTCATCTTCCTAGAGGTAAGTGTGGGGGTCAGTTGAGGTCGGCTGGGCAACTTTTTAGATGTGTGTCTGAGTATTCTGAGTATAAGTGCTCCAGGGAAAACCCACAACATGGAATGATAAAGTCTTAAAGTAACTGGGTGAAATGCCTCCTTTTTGGCCCTCCATGCTCAGACTTAGTGATGATGGAAAGAAATATGTTCCTAGTCTTAAGAGCTTGATATCTAGAATTTCTAGGTCATCTATCAAATTCCTCTGTGTGAGTATACTTTGTAGGCAGAGTAATAAATTATTCACTAAGGATCCTGCAGTAGCATTTCTGCATTAATTTACTCTATTTCTGGGTAGTTTTCACTTCCTGGAAGTTCACTTATTACATGTGATGATTCTTCCACTCATCAGATTTATACCTTGTTTCCCATTATAGTTATCTGCAATAGACACAGTTCTGTCTCAAAATTTAAAACATGGCAGGGCTTCTATCAACATTGCCTTTTCTAGAAAAGAGTAGACCTCGTCATCATAGTATAAACTTGACTTTAGCCATGACTCAGTACTGCCTCCTATGTCCGCCAACGACATCTTCAAAATCTTTGCTTTTACAAAAGTTTTCATATTATTTCCTTTAGAAGAAACAGTATTCATTGTTAGGGAGATTATTCTGTTACTCTCTATTTTCTAAATGTTATGCTTGGATCAAGCCAGAGAGCCAAATTCTAGGAACTGGTGTTTTGGCTTTTTGTTGTTCTGGCTCCATGGTTCTTCAGCATTGTTTTCAGTCAGTATTAAGGCCCTCTCAGTGTGCCTTATACTATCCTAAATACTGTCATAATAGTCTTATTTATGATAAGGATTTGCACATTACAGTGTCAGTAGCAAGAAAACTAGTATTTCTCCATGCAACTGATTTATTTTAAAGACATTATGAATCTTGATTGATACTTATTTTTGTTTTCGCTGCTTTGATATTTAAAGCAGGTCATACAATTTAGCTAATTTAAGGATTACATTTTGTAAACAGATCTCATTCCAAGCTTCATTTTCCTTTCACCAAGGTTATTATTAATATTCTTAATACATACCTAAAGCCACTTACTTGGAATGTGGAAAGGTAAATTCAGCTACTTTTATCTTTGCCATTTTTCTTTGCCTACATCTTTTCACTAAAATGGTTCAAAATGAAAAAAACGTCCATAGACTGCTGCTGATTGGCATATATTTAACTTTTGTTATCTCTGCAGTATTGATTGCAAGAATCACAGAGGAAAATTAAATATCCCTATGCAGTGTATTAATTAAAGCAAAATGACCTAATAGGCTTACTGAATTTCCAAAAAGTTTATATAAAGGCATTTTTGCTTAAAAGTCAATGAATCAGGTTACCAACTAAAAGACAAAACTCTTGATTCTGGCTTAGCTATTGCTAAGTAAGTTACATATTAAGTGGAAGAATATACTTTGTTCTCTTTGCACATAAGCAGGGGGGTTGGCTATTATTTCTGCTTCAGACTTTTAGAAGACTCTATAGGTTATTAGTAATCAAGATGTATAAGAATTTTCTTGACTGAAGCTAGAAGCATCCTGCCGAATTATTAACCTCCTCATTTCTTTTTATCCATCCCTAAGACTTCAGCCACGTTTAGCCTAGAGTGGGAAGCAGTAAAACACTTTGCTCATCTCTATTTGCAATGTAATCCGTAAAAAGTCTGGTGTAGATAACATATGCTTGTACCTTTTTTCTCCTAGATATGGGTCACCTCCAGGTAGATTACAGAGATAACAACAGGCTGCATCCAGGCGAAGATTCTTCTCTGTACTCCATCGCCTCGGTCGTGGTCCCCATAATAATAGGCCTGTCTATTATAATAGCGTTCCTGTTCATCAATCAGAAGAAACAGTGGATACCACTGCTTTGTTGGTATCGAACGCCAACTAAGGTATTGTCCTGGAAACATTTCACTCTCAAGTGATCAAAGCTAGAAAAACTTGCACACTTGTATCTCCCTAAAATTGCTTGAAAGCTTCAAATGTAGCCAGTGTCAATTTTTACTTTGCTTTCATAGCTTCAAATGCACCTCAAGCTGTGGTGACCAAACAAAACACATAGAGTACTTACGCAGGGCTGGAGCAATCACTGGATGAATTACCCATCATCCATTGGTCACTGAATCCTGATTTCATGGCTCCAGTTTCATAGATGTGAATGTTTTCAAATAAACAAATACCCCTAGATTAAATCATGGGTGTTTATAGTACAGATCTAAAAATGGTAACCCTGTATTTTTCATTTCTATCAACTCAGAGTGGGAAAGCAAGTCAAAGAAAGGGAGGGAGATGTCACTCAGGAGACTCCCAAAGATAGTGAGGCTGTCCCCAAAATCCAAAGGACAGGGAGACAAATCAGACGGGAAATGCAGCAAAAGAGGAAGAGATTGGGCAAAATACCAGATGGAGAGACAGATTTCATATTGATGAAGAGTTTCTCTGTTTTCAATCCAAATGCAAAGAGCCTCTAAAACTCCCTGCTTTTAAAAAGGATTTTAATTAAGGGAAATAAATGATTCTTCCCAACCCTAATTCTACCCCAAAAGAGCCTACAACCTTAAGAATCGAAAACAGTCTGAATAGTTAGTCCAATTTAGCATCTAGATAGCCCTTCTATTTAAAATACCTGTTTGGTGGCCATCCTGATATTCTTTCAACAAATATGCTATGGGCATATTTGTGCCAGGCACATGCTGCATAGCGCTGAGCAAGACAGTCTTTTCCCCCCACACCCCGGGCACAGCTGGGAAGAGAGTCACACTCGGAGGGTGTGACCCTGCTGCCATGCACTTACACAGCCTGAGCAGTTCACAATCATCCATTACCTTACAGTCAATCTGGTGACTTCCACTCATTCTCAACCCTCTTAAAATCCTTAAAGCATAGACTAGTGCTTATAGTGATGATGTTACTTCACCACTCACCTTATCCTTTCATCCACTCCCTGTTTGAAACAGTTAATTGACATTTCACTTTTAGACACCGTCAGACTCCTTCATTGCTGGTAGTTGGTACCATCATAGGCGTAGTACTCATGCAGTCTCTGCATCCGTGTACTGGGAAGCTGTTGTCTCCCTTGAACTAAATGTCAGTTCATTGGGGGGACAGAAAGCAGCTAACTCCTTGTGGTTTTTCCTCCTCTCATTAAATAGCCTTCTTCCTTAAATAACCAGCTGGTATCTGTGGACTGCAAGAAAGGAACCAGGGTCCAGGTGGACGGTTCCCAGAGAATGCTACGAATTGCCGAACCAGATGCAAGATTCAGCGGCTTCTACAGCATGCAGAAACAGAACCACCTCCAGGCAGACAACTTCTACCAAACAGTGTGAAGAGAGGCAACTCAGATGAGGTTGGAAAAGACAGAAAAACGACTAAATCTGCTCTTAAAAGTAAACTAGCATTTGTGCACTTGCTTAGTGGATTGTGACTTGATGTACAGCGCTGAGATTTTACTGGGATGGGCTCTGTGGACGGCAGTATGCGGGACACGCATTCCCACTTTCCCTCAAGATAACTGACCAAGTGTTTTCTTAGAACCAAAGTTTTTAAAGTTGCTAAGACATGTTTGCTTGTAATATAGCTGTAGAGATATTTGGGGGTGGGGACAGTGAGTTTGGTTGGGCAGTGGGGGGGGAGGGGTGGTGTTGGGAAGACAAATTGGTCAGCTTGGTTCGGGGAGAAATCCAGTAAAATTAAAGCAGTTCAGTAGCCCAGGGGATATTTTTTCCTGTTTGTTGCTCTGAAAGACTGCACTGGTTGCCGCAAAAGCTCAGGCCTGAAAGAGCAGGAAACAAAGAAAGGCCTTGCGATCAAGCTGCCGTACCCACCTTAGCACCACCAGACAAGCGCATCAGAACCTTTTGATAGCCATCCCAGGTCTAAAGCCACAACTTTCTTTACTATATACAGTCACAACTGCGGTAGGCGGTGAGGAAGCCAGAGAAATGTGATAGCAGCATTTCTCTAAAGCGGGTTGTTAAGGATATATACATTTATACTTTTTGCTGCTTTAGTTTTCTTCCAAGCCAATCAGCCAGTTCCTAGCAGAGTCAGCAAATGAACAAGACCTAAGTCATTTCTTGATGTGAGCACTGGAGCTTTTCTTACAACACCGTGGCAGGAAGGAGGAGAGGGTGAAGGACACCAGGCATTTATTTCCAGGGGCTATACTTCATTGTTTGTTGTTGCTTTGTCCTGTTATATTGTTGGTTGTTCATAGTTTTTGTTGAAGCTCTAGCTTAAAAAGAAAATTTTTTTAAAAAGACTGTTTAGGGATTTTTTTTCCTTATTATATACTGATTCTACAAAATAGAAACTACTTCATTTTAATTGTATATTATTCAAGCACCTTTGTTGAAGCTCAAAAAAAAATATGCCTCTTTAAACTTTAGCAATTATAGGAATATTTATGTAACTCTTATGCTTCAAAAAAAAATCAAAAGTATTTGTGTGCATGTGTATATAATATATATGCATATATATTTATACACATACAATTTATGTTTTCCTGTTGAATGTATTTTTATGAGATTTTAACCAGAACAAAGACAAACAGGCATTCCATATCAATGCTTTGATCACTTATAAATTTTTTGAATAACACAAATTTTCATCCTACCTGCAGTTGAATTGGGAAGATGTGTGTGTGTGAGTATGCTTGTGTGTGTGTTTGTGTGTGTACGCACACGCCTTGAGCAGTCAGCATCACATCTGCTACAAAGAAGGTATTCCTTTACTAAAATCTTCCTCATTTGGATTTGTTTTCGGTTGGTTTTCAATTTGCTCACTGGCCAGAGATATTGATAGCAGTTTATCTGCATCACTAATCAGCTCCTGGATTTTTTTCTTTTTCAAACAACTGTTTGAAACAACTACTGGAATATTGTCCATAATAAGCTGGAAGTTTGTTGTAGTTTGCCTCAAATATAACTGACTGTATACTATAGTGTTAACTTTTCAAACAGCTCTTAGCACTTTTATACTAATTACCCATTTGTGCATTGATTTTTTTTTTTCTTTTAAAAATGCTTGTTGTGAAAGACACAGATACCCAGTATGCTTAATGTGAAAAGAAAATGTGTTCTGTTTTGTAAAGGAACTTTCAAGTATTGTTGTAAATACTTGGACAGAGGTTGCTGAACTTTAAAAAAAATTAATTTATTATTATAATGACCTAATTTATTAATCTGAAGATTAGCCATTTTTTGTCTTAGAATATCAAAAAGAAAAGAAAAAGGTGTTCTAGCTGTTTGCATCAAAGAAAAAAGATTTATTATCAAGGGGCAATATTTTTATCTATTTCCAAAATAAATTTGTTAATAATATGTTACCAAAATAGACTTACATCAGCCTGATTAGTATAAAATTTTGTTGACAATTAATCCATTCCTGGCATAAAAAGTCTATCAAAAAATTGTAAATGCTTGCTTTTTGTTTTTACAATCATGGCCATATTATGAAAATACTAACAGGATATAGGACAAGGTGTAAATTTTTTTTTTATTTTAAAGATATGATTTATCCTGAGTGCTGTATCTATTACTCTTTTACTTTGGTTCCTGTTGTGCTCTTGTAAAAGAAAAATATAATTTCCTGAAGAATAAAATAGATATATGGCACTTGGAGTGCACTGTAGTTCCACAGTTTGTTTTGTTTTCTTCAAAAGACAAAGCTGTAAAGGGATTCTTTGCAACTTGGTTCTTGATCTCAAACAAACTCCTTTTTGCAGTCTGCTCTCCCAACTACTGACTGAGGAGTACAGATAGGCCCTGTGCTCACAGATATTTAAGCCCCAAGATATAACTGGTCCTACACGGGAGAAAAGCGCCATACCTGATGGGAATGTCTCACAGACCCAGAAAAAGGGCAGGACTTCTATCATTCCGTAGCAGCTCAGCATAATCGGAAAAGCCCTTCTCTTCTCTCCTTAGCATCATGAGGCTAACTGGGATTTCATCAGCTCGTACACTGTAATGGTGGGCTCTGTGTGGATAGGAAGGGAGAGAATCTAGCACTGAAAGGGAAGAAAAATTATAAAGTCCTCAAGCGTATATTAGTTTTTTCCCCCAACATTTATTAAAGGGCATTGACTTGATTGAAACTGGCAGAGGTGCTTCATGATTAGTGATAAAGCTATTTCCATACTCGGTACTCTCAGAAAACACAGGGGTATGAATAAAATAGAACACAGGAATGGGAAGTGGATAATGTGGCAGCATACAGTTTCTCAAGCACCTTAAAGGATGCAAGCTCCTTTTAAAGTACGCTTCTTCACAAACACATAAAACATTTAAACATCTAAGTAAAAGTGAATGGCAACTTAATGGTTAAAATTTGAACAGTGAAACGTGCAACAAACTAAAATCAGTCATGTCTAACAGTTCTGATGTTTACTACATAGTAAACCAACATAACACATCTGGTTAGTCTCTTTTCATTGCTTCTAAGAACAGCCCAAGGTTGTTAAATTTCAGTCTCTCTGGACACCACCAGTAGGTAATAATTTATACTGATAATTCTCTTACAAAAATCAGTGTTGGTTTTTGCCATCACTGAAGAACAACTATAGTATAAATTTCTCCATGTTTTTGTCTAATTCTTCAGTGCAGTTTAGGTCTAAAAAGCCATAAAAACACAAATGGGCATCCTGTCAATGACAAATTGCACAAGCACAATTCTTGTTACTCTCCCTTACTTCACAAAGCTGGAGAAGAGTTCATAATCGTTAGTATTTAACAAAAAACCACCTTTAGAATTCAAAATAGTGCCATAGGTCTTTTGATTCTATCATATAAAGAATGAGTGAGCGCATGATCTATTAATACTGAATCCAAACCCAGGTCCAAGTGTGCTGAGTTTCCAACAGCAGGTACTGATAGCAGCCAGCTTTCAGAGCAACACTACAGGAAATGTAGCTTGTAGTCCACACACGACAGCTGCTCCCGAAGTGCCACTGCCCTATGTGGGACACAGAACTAGAGGAAGAAAGAGAAAGCTTTTTAGTGGGAGTGTGTACATTACGTTCCACGCCATTGGCAGGTTCTTGAAAAGGGCAGCTTCTCCCCAAAATGACACAAAAGCAGGTCCTCGAATAACATCGTTTCTGCAAGATGGGCCAGGACTGCTTCTCGGGCTTCAAAGATTATTTGAGGACCTGCTGTCTTTCAGACACATTTGCACAAGCTGTATATACATTTTATATACATTTCATATGTATATAAAAAGCACTATTAAAGTAATGAGAACTAAATACCAATGCAAAAATCTATAGCAGCAGTTTTTTAAAAAGGTACACCCAATGATGAAGTTTTCCAGAGAGTTACTAGAATCTCCCAGAAATGAGCTATAACGAGGCCATGTCTCTCAGGGCATCACTTAGAGGCAGAAAGCCCAGGACATTAGTCTAGTGGCACGAGGCATATCACACAGTGGACAGGCTTCCTGTAAAGTCCAAGAAGGGTTTAAGTTGCTGCACTCATTTTTATTGCAACTAGGATCAGCAAAGTAGCAGCCTGTTGAACATCTGTTGAGGGCAGTGGTGGCAGCAGCAGGTTTTTGTGGGGTAATTAAGCAGGTATGAGAAAGAGATGCTTAATTAGCCCAGTCAGCATCCAGCCAGTCTTTTTCAGGCCAAACATGGCCACGTTTTACTTCTCACTTCCTTATTGGAATTAGATGGTGTAGCTGGGCAGCCAAGCCAGCCACTGGTAAAAAACTGAGAAAGTCCCACCAAGACAGAGTTGTTTACCGCCCCCCCCAGGCAGAGGTTCTATTACTGGCCCCCAAGGAAGAGGAATAATTAGCAGACTGTGGATCTCTGGGTTGGGTGGAAAAGAGCATTTTAAATAAACCCTTTCACTGTCCCATCCACTTGAATATCTGCATGTGTTACACTCCCTCTGCTCAAACCACAGCATCAGTGTGTTAGTCTGAACCCCGGCTTCTTTTCCACCCAGTCCTCAAAGCGCAAAGTCAAAAGGAAACCACAACACATGCACACAAGCAGCGCAACAGCAGCAGGTAGAGTGGGTAACTCGGGCTCACAGTAAGGGCCTGGGCCTGGGGAGCATATTACTAAATGGGCACTGAACTTCCCTAAGGCATTTGGGGCACAGTCCCAGGTGCCAGAAGGGAAAATTACAAGTCTTTTCACCCCAGAGCATGCTGTTCTCTGGGTCATAAAATTCTTCCATGCAGCTAGATGAGAAAATAGCTAGAGAATACTTCAGAAGTTCATTATTTCTCCGGCCCTCATGGCAGTGCCCTAGGGACCCACTGTAATTAAAAATTAAGACATGTTCTTTATGTTTGTCTCATTCCTGTGTCACATCTATAAGAACAAACCTCAGACAACTCCAGCTTTCATACCAATGCTAGCACAACATAAAAGCAAACAAAAATGTCAGGTGGTTTTTAAAATGGTAACTCAGAATAGAAAAATCCTTCCATCAGAAAACCAGCTTATTCAGAAACAATGTCAATTTAGTCTTTCCAACCCTCCTCCACCCCATTAACCTCCTAAAGGCAGGTTCCGCATCAAGTCTCACAGGTGGTACTTAAGTGTTACTCCCTGAGTTCCCAGGGCAGACTACTGAGGTGCCATGAAGCTTGGGATGGAGTCCCATCTGAGCAGCTAAAGACTCAAATTCCTTTTGTGATACCTTCAAAACCTGACACCTGAATGCCTTCCCCTTTTTTTTGGTTAACTTTATTTTTTTTAAGATTTATTTATTTATTTGTACAAGCACTGGGTACAGTCAGAAGCGCGGGACGGTGAGAGAATTCACCAGAGCCAGAGCGGGGAGCAGAGCAGGCCGAAGGACCGAAGTACACTGCTGAGGGGAGCAGCCGGTGGCAGGAGAGGTCTGCGTGCCATGTGGGACCCTCCTCCGGTGGCCGGGGAGCAGCCGGGGATTGAACCGGCGCTCAACCACTGCGCCACCGGGGAGGCCCTGAATGCCTTCTTTTTTAAAAAATAATTTTATTTTCTAGAATAGAATTCTACAGTCCCCGCTTATCCAGATTTTGCTCTTTTCCCCAGCAAAATGATCTCACTTTTTTGCAAGAGTTCTGCCTCGTCACTCTTCCCCTTCTGTGTAATCCTGATCTTGCTCCTAAGACTAATTTATTTTTCACTGCCCTGGATTTATGAAAGTGCACTCTTTTCCCTCCCCATCCCTTAAACCAGTATTTCATATTCCCTTTGCAACTATTAACTGGTCTGATAGACCTCCACCCACCCATCCTCTCTGATCGGCCCCTCTTTCTCTTGTCCCAAGATGGCCAAGACCCTTCTCAAACCCTTCCACTGCTGACACAGCACCTCCACAAAATTCCTCCACTGCCTCCTCATGTATAGAATTTAGCTCTAGAAATTATTTGCAGCCAAGGACCTCAAAATTTATACAACTACAGTTTGTGATATAATCCATGTATCCTCATCCTGCATGAGATTAATAAAAATTGTGAATTTAGAAGTTGTTCTTTCATCTATTAGCAAGACTGAGTTTACTGGCTAATCAAACTTTCCCAGCCATTGCACACATACCACCTAAAAAAACCCTACCTTTCAGTATATAATCAGTTAACAGACTTGGAACTTTTTCGCTGTCTTCTTTCATGGCACGAAGAACTGTGAAATAAGAGAATGGAAAAGGAACGAGGTCAAATTCAGATAAAGATTTAATTCCAATTAATTGTAGCTTTAACCTTAATTCATTATATGCTATAATCAATTCATGCCAATTAGAGATGTTTTCTCCTGGAGAAGGGAATATAACAGCAAACACACAATTTGTTTCAGTTGAGTACGTCCTTTATTCAAGTAAGAACTTACCAGTTACCTGGCAGTTATTTCCCCCGTGTAAAATTTACAAACAGCTGAGGCAAAAAAGAGGAACTAGGTTATTTACACAGAGCATCAGTTTTCTCGTAATAACTACTGGAAAGCAAGTTAGCCTGTTGTGTACCAGGAGCTCTGAGGCGCAGGAGAACCTCAGTGCTGCAGATCTCACAAGCTCAGGTAAATGAACAGCAAGCACCCAGGAGCACACCTGTCGGCCTTCTCGGGACTTTTAAAGAACAGAAGCATGAAGCTGACCCTTCCCAGCTGCCTACTCTTCTGTACTTAAACCTCAGAGCACAAAGTCCCTTCCCTGAAAATGAGAGTAACTATTAGACCTGTCTCCAAGGCTTCTTGTGAAAACTTACTCAGATAAAGCACTGGAATGGTGCCCAGCAGGGCATCATGCTATGTAAGCAGTAATCACAATTAGTATCGCAATGATTACAAGAATTCTGGTTCTCTAGCACCACTATCCAGTCAGCCACGTTCACAAGGAAGGCTTCATAGTCCAAAACCGCTGTGGCTCACGGGGATTCCCCTGCACTGCTGCCTTCAGGTGGTGGCACCAGAGGAGCAGGCTCTCCCCAGAGTTTCCATGATAACCAATTTTCTTCTGACATTCCAAGTGAAGACCACCCTTCCATCTCCCGTCTTCACAACACATTCATGCTCAGCCCCTATCCTTACTCACATACAGATTCCAAATTGTGTCCATCTGCAAAGACTCATGTGGGAATTATCAACTTGGTTTGGTCAAGTGAATGTCCTTAATCTGAAAAGCTGAGACCTCAGTAATTCCTGGCTTCTAAGAAATGTCTATGATCCCTTTGTATAGGGTTGCTCTATTCAGTATTTCTGCTTCCTTCATGTTTTAGACTTGTTTTCAGTTCTGCCTGCAGGCACACACCAGAAGCCAGCATCATTAGAAGTACAGTGGACATGGAACTCAGAGACCCAGCCTGGGATCAACGCTGTGTGATCCAGAACACTCAGAACTTCATGAGTTCTGCATGTTGGAGGGCTGGCCACCCACTTATCTCTTAACTCTTTATTTCAGACTGACTGGCATCACTTGCTTTATCCACAGTTTTTTAAATCTATAATGGGTTTTTTGCAAATGTTATTCACCAAAGGAAAAAATGAAAGTTCAGGTCAATCTTTTCTTGTGTTCCCTCTACTCAGGTCTCCATGTCCTTAATTTTCAAAACAGATACCCTCCTCCTCCTCATCATCATCAGCATCTTCCAGCCACTGATGCGCTTACTTATATTCGGTTCCATCCTCAGGCACCAAAGTGGAAGTGGCTGATTTACAAAGAATTACAATTAAAAAGAACCTAATAAATCAACAAATTCAATTGCTTCAAAAAAAAATTAGCTTGAGTGAATGACTTACCCCAAATCACACACACATTAATTTATTTACTATGAAATAAATAGAGCAAATATTTTTATCCTCATTTTTCACTGTACCCAAGAAAGGAAAAGTGACTTCCAAGGATATCCCTGTAAATAACAGGGAGAGAATCAGAATTCAGGGTTCCTTTTTGGCTATCATAAGAGAGGTTTCATATAATGTATAGTTAAAGCTAACAAATTGTTTTAAAATTTAAAAATCCTTGAAGTGGAGTATTTTTGCCAGCTTTGTTCACTGAAATATTTCAAGTGCCCAGAACATGGCCTAGCACAGTGTAGGCCTTCACTGAATATTTGCTGAATGAATTCTTTTTTGTTGTTGTTGGACCCTCACCGGCGGCAGGGGAATGAACCAGCGCTGCAGAGACTGCGGGCAGCTTCGCAGCCCAGCGCTCAACCGCTGCGCCACCAGGGGAGGCCCTAAATGAATTCTTAAAATATTATTATCCATTTATGTTCTACCTGTACATACTACATTGGCTTCTACATTCATGAGTATTTTAAAGCACACTTCTAAATTTTTCCTGATCATTGACTGACAATCATATTTATGTAAGATCCATAGAGTAATTTTTTTCCCGGTAAGTAGATATGTTCTTGCAAGAGATGGAGAATCAAGCTAAGCACTTTTACCCAAAAGCAGCTTATAACTTTTTCAAAAGAAAACACACACATGAGGGCCTCCCCGGTGGCACAGCAGTTGAGCGCTGGGTTGCAAAGCTGCCTGCAGCCTCCGCAGCGCCAGTTGGATCCCCGGCTGCTCCCGGGCCGCCAGAGGAGGGTCCCACATGGTGCGCAGACCTCTCCTGACACCCGCTGCTCCTCTCAGCAGTGTCCTTCTGCCTGCTCTGCTCCCCGTTGTGGCTCTGGTGAATTCTCTCACCCTCCCGCGCTTCTGACTGTACCCAGTGCTTGTATAAAAAAATAAAAAATAAATCTTTAAAAAAAAAAAACACACATCATCTCTACTTTTAGTGTTTTGTTTGCTGTCATAGCCACTTATGGTCTCATTCTCAAAAAAATGACATCATTTACATCCTAAATCAACAAAACAAAACATTAACAAAAGCAACAAATGAACCAACTGGAACCAGTATTTAAAAAACAAAGTGACATTTTAATGTCTTTGCTTACTTTTTGTTAATATCTGAAGATCTTCCACAGATGGTGGTCCACTTTTTTTCTCATAAGGAATGACTGTTGTCAAGTACTGCCAGATTAAGAAAATATACATGTCACTTAAATCTGAATTAAGTTATCTGCAAAAATTTGATAGTACTGAGGTTTATTTTATAAGATGAAATGAGCTGTCTTAGTAATGAACACAGGAATCTTACAATCTCAGCAAGAGCTCATTTTTTCCTTTTTGCCCACCTCTCTTTTCATGTAAGCCCAATGTCAACATAAAATTCGCCTTTTTGCCTTTCCGTTATTGAAAGTTTCATAGAACAAGTCTGAGGATGACTTGTTCAATCCGCTCATTTTTAAAGAGAAATCTAACATTCTCCTGTATATTTTTTCAACACATTTTTAAAATAGTAATTTAGACAAAACACAGTTGTAACAGTTATACATAACAAAATAATTCCCTACAAATAATTCTTCAGACCGTTTTTTCCCCTGGATGAACAAAATGGCCATTTAACAACTTTAGAAACACAGGCCAGCTTCTTCCAGAACCTAACACATTTGCCCAAATAATTTTAGAGGTTTATTAAGATGATTATTGTTGTTATTTCGTTATGTAAGTAGTTGTAAATGTTTAAAGGTATTAATGGAAAGTGAAAAGAGAATTGCCTAATGGATAATGAAAAACGACATCCGGAATTGAGGCAAATTTCTGCTTGGAAAGGTTCACAAGAATCAGTTATGTCCCATAACTATGTTCCTTGAAAGTATAATCTAAAATGATTATCCAGAATTCTCCTATTCTGACTACTCCACCAAAAAAAAAAATAGGTAATTTGTGAAGTTTTTGTCTATTCATCAAGAAATCTACTGGTTTTTACTTGGAATTTCTTCAACCCTACCCGTTATTTAGCCCCTATCCTAAATCTTAGTCCTATTTAATCTAAACCCTTTGAGTAATTAAAAAAAAAGAAAAAGAAAAAGATAAAAGCTACCTAATAATAACATGATCCCCACATGCAGAAAAGTATTAAGACTGAATTGTCCGATCTTACACTTAACTTCCCGCCGGTGAGTGGAGGAGCGTCAGGAGGCTGTGCTTTAGCTGCGTGCTACCTGCTGCACGCCCGGGCCACTATCATCTCCACACGGTGGGTCAGTCTGGAAGTTATTTTGCCATCTTGTGGCTTTGAGAGAGGTGAGAGGCACCTCAAAAACAAAAGTTAAACCACTGTTTCATGGAGCCCTTTTATGAGTCCCAAATAGCAGTGTAAAGGAATCTCCCTTCTTTAACATCAATCATTTCCCTTCTTGAGGAAGGTGGCACTATCTTCAGTAAAAACCCCAAGCTCAAATGCCTTCTTTCTGATCAACTGCTGCCAGCTACTTTCTGCACAATTTCTCAGTCTTCACACAAGAGCTAAACTGAAGCACTTTCTTTCTGAAGAGAGAATTTCTCATTGTGAAAAGTAATTTTAAGCACACTCGTTAATGGAGATGTGTTTCCTGTATTAATGATATTCCTTAAATCATTATACAAAAATGTTAATTAAAAAGCAAACTGCTACACATTTTACTGTATATTTCTATCATTTTGGGGTTATCTTGTGCCTCATTTGGCAGATAACAAAGTTGGATGGCTGTATGATACAACCTAAAAACACATGAATTTTAAATGAAAATCATTTAAAAGTGGTAAGGGACACTATGCAGACATTTTTGACCTAGGACTCTGAAAGATACTGACATCTGCCTTTCCTCCTTCAAGAGTGAAATTTTGTTTCTCAGACTTTTAGAATTAGAGCAGCATATTCTAGTCCAGTTATTTTTATAGTACGTTATTCTACACATGCAGTTCAGTATGTCAGTACGTTAATGATCTATTTGTTTAAAGCTAAGAGTGAAATATGCGCTCTAGAACATGTATTAAGAATGCATTTAGTCTACTATCCAATTTGAAAAGCACTTTACTCTAAAGGAGAGTTCTGTGCATTGTCAAGACCATTGATATAATCAACCTGCTTTTTGCTCTTTTAAGCAGTAGTCTTAGTAAATTAGTAAAACTGCCAGCTTTCAAGACATTCTCCTACACAGAAAGTGAAAAAGCAGAGAATGAAGAAAATAAGGATAACCAAGCACCTGTTTCTCTCCACCTGAATTTCCAAAGGTGTGGCGGAGGCCATTCTGAATGACATTTGAGATCCCTTCCATGCTGAAGCGCTAAAGGCAGCAATATAGGGCCCGGAAGAAAAGGACAGAGAAAGAAGTTCAAAGACTATTAGTAAGAGTACCATGATGGTGTGTGTGCCCACGAGACAAGCAGTTAGAAATGCCACTACTCATTCACATAAGCAGAAAAAATCATGCTGTTTTAAATATATTCTTGCTTCCACTTCTTTGCACATCAAATGCAAAATCAAATGCCTTTATACCACTACGTTCATGAAAACTTCTCCCAATGTAGCTGATAGGTTTGCTCCAGTGTAAACACTGTTAAGCTGTGCACATATTTGTTTTCTGTGAAATACACCACATAACTTTTAAGATACCTTTTGATATTGTTTACCTACATTTTATTGTAAGTCTGGATACTTACTACTAACAGTATGCATAATTTCTGCAGAAGTTTCCATATTTCTACCATAAGTTTGGAGAGCATTTCCATAACATTTGGCAACTGAAAACACTGTTACTTGAAGAGCCGATTACTGCTTCCCACTCACTCTTAAGCCACCTACCACTGCCTTGTGCAGAAAATGGGAACTGTTCCTGCACATGGGCTTCCTGGAAAACAGTAAATCCCACATATCAGGGAGACTCCCTAAAAATTCTGCATACTTGCCAACTCTCTTCAAGGAAAGAGTTCTAGCTTCTTTCTCCTAGCAACCTCCAAGACTTCCTAGAATTCACTGTACTGAAAGTGAGTATTTTTTTCCTAAATGAGTTATCTTGATTTGGAACCACTCTGCAATGCCATCAGACACAGTGAAAAGTGTCCAGTGGCACCTCTGTGATCGCTAAGTAAAGGAACTGAGTGGACTCATACAGCCTGACTGGTCACAGGGAAAGGCATCCCAAAAAGAAGTTTTAAGTCCTGATTCACTGGGTGGTTCCTTTCCCTGGAATTTTATAGGGGACACTTGAATCAGTAAACACAGTTGAAGAGTTAACCTAAAGAATATTTTAGCAGGCACCAAGAAATAGAAGACACCAAGGCAGTGGTCTCCACCCTCAGGAAACGTAGCCCAGCGGTTCATGAAGTGTAGTCCAGAGAACAACCCCCACCCCAGGAGTCCCAGAAAATCTTCAGGGGTCCATGAGCTCATAATTGTTTTCTTAAGAAATACTAAGACATAATTTGCTTTTTCACTCTCATTCTCTCATGATTTATAATGAAATATTTGAAACGACAAACTGAACACACAAGATCTGAGACGCTAGCCCTCTTCAATTAAGCCAGATATTAACAAGACTGACAAAAATGTAGAGCAAAGCCAATGGCATTTTGCTCACTAAATTCTTAAAAATAGTTTCCATAAAAATACAGTATTTAAGGAAACATTCATGAATTCTCATTGGCATTTTTAGAAGAATTGGTAGTGGTATTTTAAATTTTTACCTAATACAATCAATATAACTTATACAAGCAAACACTTCAGGGCCTCTGATGTATTATGAGACTGTAAAAAGAAGTCCAATCGATAGGACGCTGAGAAATACCAAACGCCAAAATGGTTTCACCTTGGAAGGAGCTTTCAAGTGTTCACTAGCCGTGCTGCCAATGTAGCCCTGCAATCTGAGCCCTAAGTTTTACCACGTCCTAGGGAGCTTGCACTCCACCTTCCTCCTGAGCCCTACTCCACCGAGTCCTTCCTAGAGCTGCACGCTGTTTTGTGTTGGCAAGAATCAAAGCCTGGGCCAGACACATGAGTAGACACACTTCACACTGCAGATAGCCTAACTATCACCTTGATGAAGTGGGCTAGTTTTAAAAGAAAAACCTAGCCATAACTATTTCTGCAGATTTTTCACATGCTTTCATATAAGCTATTCACATTTTAAAAAGATTATCAGAAGTGGTAACTTCTCAGCCTTCAGTCTATAACAAAATTATGGGTAATTCCTTTCAAATAAGTAGATTTGTTTAAATTCTTTTTTCATCATGTGTTATTTCCTTTCAAAAGCAACAAAAAGAAAAATACTCAGTATTCCATATGATAAGACTCCATTACCTGTGGACAGGTTAAAACGAGACACAAGTTCAGAAAATCTCCAAGTGAAAATTTTATAACCCATGTATTGGGGAAGTAATACTTTTACATTTCAACAGCATATTCAGAAAATTCTGTCTTTACTTCTCTGATTGAAAACCAAATTCCTGTTCCTGAAAAAAAAAAAAATGTTTTAAGTTGATGCAAATTCTTAAAAGTCCTAAGATATAAATGTAATGTAGGGACAGTTGTGGATACTGCTGGGCCATATCGACTCCTGGTAGCCTACTTGTGAAAACAGCTTTCATGCAACTTGACTTCGTGAAAATAAATGAAAATGCAGTCATGTGAAGCCACTGTGCCTTAGAAAAATACAAAACTAACAGCTGATCCTCGAGAAAGGACAGGAGGAACTCTCTGCAGAACACCTGCCCTCGGCTTAAGGCAGTGGAGTCGGTAGCCGTGGCTGTCGGTGCACCAGACCCACTGCATCCTGAGGGAAAATCAGTGTGACACCAGAGGCGGGCCACTGGGGAAACAGCAGAATAAGAAAAGCAGCGAGTGCTACAGAAATACAGGGAAACCTTCACTGAAATGTTCTTCCACCAATGACCCAGATGTCACCGACTCCCACCTCCCAGGGTCACTCGGTAACAACTCTCCCGCTCCACCTCATCCCTGCCCAGCCAGCCAGCTCTCTGAAACAGCTTTTTCTAGAGGCATTTCTTTGATGCTGAGGTCCTCAGACCTCTGAGAGGTCCCAAAAACTCTCCTCCTGACACCCCTCCTGGGATTCCCAGATACCACATTCTCCAGAGTTCTCCCCGAACCTCTGCTTGCCATTTTTGAGTGGTGCCTCTCTCTGCTCAACTTGGTAGGTAGCAGTGTCCGCAGGATTTTCTCAGCATGCACTCTAAATGCTCCCCCTCAAGAGAGTCAGATTCTGCCTCCACAGATCGACAGCGGGACTTCACTAGACTGGGCCAGAGCCTGCACGGGCCAGGCGCAGGGCAGGCTGCTATCGGCCTCGGGGCAGGCTACGATGGCCACCGTCCTCCCCTCCTGAGAGTCAGACTAACATGTTTAAAGGCGGAGTGGACATCTGTACCCAAGTATTCCTAAAACTCACCATATCCCAAGCTGAATTCATCCCCCTCTGTCACCCCCAAATTCAAAACCTGTTCTTCCTTCAGGATTCCATACCCCACTCATTCACTCATTCCTTCAGAAAACAGATAAAGTGATACAGGTACTATTTCAGGTGCTCAAGATTCCAAGTGAACAACACATCAGTCAAATTCCCTGCCACCCTCATGACCTTGTATTTTGATGGCAAGGGGAGAGCAGAGTAAGTAAAAGAACTAGATGGTTGCAGATAACATGTACCCAGCCTCAACGGGGCAATTAAAACCCGGATGCCTACTTTATTCCGGAAGGTCAAAGAAAAGCTCTCTGTGGAGGGGACATCTGAGCTGAACCATGAATTATGCACCCGTCCCAGATGAACCACAAAGGATGATGGACAAGAGAGCCGCTCGGAGAACAAAGCCAAAAGCAGGCCAAGCTGACCAACAGGGAGTTCACTCTGTGGCCGGTGTACAGGGGCTGCGGCTCTCCAGCAGGATGCCGCAGCACTACTGAGCATCTCCACCCTCCCCTTCTTCCAGTGAGACCCTGTTCTCTCCGCATCCCTGTGTGCTGGCCATTCTGCCTGGCCTGGCTGACCTTTGCATGGTAAGAGCCTCCATCCATAGCTGAGAGAGGACAGAAATCCCCTAGACACTGGGCTTGAGGCTCGATGAGTCGCCCCTGGTGAGATTTAGGGAAGGGGCCCATGTCCTCCACCTGGCTTGTCCAAGTGAGAAATCAATGACCCGAGGCTGACTCCTCCCTTCCCTCGTGCCCCAAACAGCAGCGTCAACCTTAATGTTTCTGAAATTCAACTATTTTCTCATCCCTACTGTCTCTGTCCTGGTTTATTTCTAACCTGAATGACTGCAACAGCCTCCGAATCAACTCTTTTTTCCCTAGTAGCCTCCTTCAAACACTGAAGCAATCCTTCCAGAAGGCAAATCTGAACATGTGACCACCCTACTTAAAAAGTCATTTTGGTTTTCTCCAGCCTTTAAATAAAGATGACAGGCCTCAGGGCCTCCCTGGTGGCGCAGCGGTTGAGCGCTGGGTTGCGAAGCTGCCCACGGCCGCTGCGGCGCCGGTTCGATCCCCGGCTGCTCCCCGGCCACCAGAGGAGGGTCCCACATGGCGCGCAGACCTCTCCTGCCGCCCGCTGCTCCCCTCAGCAGTATACTTCGGTCCTTCTGCCTGCTCTGCTCCCCGCTCTGGCTCTGGTGAATTCTCTCACCCTCCCACGCTTCTGACTGTACCCAGTGCATGTATAAACAAAAAACAAACAAACAAATAATAAAATAATAAATAAATAAAAGCATGCCTCTATTAAAAAAAAAAAAAAAAAGATGACAGGCCTCACCATGGCCTACACAGTCATCCATTTTCTGGCTTCCACTTGGCTGCTTCCACGCCCTCCCAAGTTCATTCCTCCCATTACCTTCCAGTCTTCTCCCTCAACTTCTGGCCATAATGAACAACTTGTGGTTCCCCAGAGAGCCCTGTGAGTGCCCGTGGTTGACCACGCACTTCCTCTGTTCGGCATACCTGTGCTCTCCCCTCCTTCTATTTCCAGCTCAGCCTCTCAAGACCCCTAAACCAAACCAGAGGCAAAGGTAACATACACACACCTGCATCACATGGACAGTGCCAGACACAGCACTGGAAATATGGTAGCTGTTTTGAATACAGCAGTTTTCACACTACACCTAGCTGTCTTAACCTCAAGACCACCAACATCTAGGGTTATAACACTCTGTTGTGGGGCAATTGTGGGCATTGCAGGGTGTAGGGTTTCTGGCCTCTACTCAGCAGGATGGCTGCAGCACTGCCCCACCTCCCTATCCCTCACCCCCAGTTGTGCAAAACTGGTGTGGTGGAGAA